CCCCCCCCTCTCAGCAGGATCTGCTGGGATCTGCCATGCTGGTAGTGATTGCTTCCCAAGGGAGAGGAGGAAAAGTCTGAGAGTGGGAACCAAGGGAGGCAAGAGGAGGAAATCCAGATGCTCTTTGACTCAGGCTTCTCAAATCCCCTGGAGGGGACCGAGGCCAGATCAGTGAAGTCCTGCAGTGCCCCAGCCCTCACTGTGGCCTCGCTCTCATCTGGAACTCTCCTTCCAGGGAGATCTGGGTCCTTTCAATCCTGGCCTGCCAGTGGAGGTGCCTGTGTGGCTGGCCATCAACCTGAAGCAGAGGCAGAAGTGTCGGCTGATTCCTCCAGACTGGATGGATGTTGGTAAGGCTGGTGGCCTTGGCTTGTTTCATGAGCACCAGGAGGAAAAATCCTTCCCTGTGGGGGTGGCAGAGCCTGGAGCAGGCTGCCCAGAGAGGCTGTGGAGTCTCCTGCTCTGGAGAGATCCCAAACCCACCTGGATGTGACCCTGGGCACCCTGCTGTGGGGTTGGATGAGGTGATCTCCTCTGGAATTCTTTACAGGAGATCTTCCCAGTGAAGTCAGGTATTGAACTCCTGTTCCTCTGGTGAGGAGGAGGAGGAGGAGCAAGGGTTAGAGGAAGTCCCCAGCCCTGACACTTGTCCTCAGCAGTCACTGAGCAGCACCTGCACCTCCTGCAAGGCTTGTTCAGAGCTGTGTGTTTGTCACACATCCATTCACTCCGAGAAAGGATTGAATTTGGGAGTCTCAGGAGAGAAACCTGGCACCCTCCCTCGTGCTGTCTTGGGGGAAACAGGGAAAGGAAAGCAGCAACTGCTGCGGGAGCTGCAGCTGTCTGGGGGAAAACAGGAAAAAAGAAGCAGCCAATGCTCCTGGAGCTGCAGCACGAGGGATTCCTGCCCCAAATATTTAGTTATTTATTCATTCAAGGGCACAAACATGAATCTGAGCTGGGCCATGGAGTCGATCCGATAGAACCGATCCCCTGGGGGGGTGAAAACCCACCCAAAGCACCAAGGCTCTGGCAGTGCCTGCTTCTTTTTTTAGAAAAACTGGAGGAAATCCGGGACAGGGAACGTCAAGAGGACACCTTCACCCCCATGCCCAGCCCCTATTACATGGAACTCACCAAGCTGCTGTTGAACTAGTGAGTAGAAAACCTTCTGTGCCAGGGGCCACCCGGGGCCGTGCCGCCCCAGGAGCGTTCCTCGAGCTTTGCCTTGGCAGAGACCCCCGGGGAGGGCTGGGAAAGGGAGAGTTAATGGAGGTTTTCTTTCACAGCCTGCCAAGATTTAGCTGCAGCAGTGTGGTTTTTTTTCTTTTCTAGGGGTGATTTCACGTTTTGGGAGCTGGGGGGTTGCTGGTTCCCTGGGCTGGTAATTGGGGCTGCGCCGCGTTATTGAGCGGCTGCGAAGCGTGGAGGCCTCCACAGCTCCAATCTGTTCAGCAGCCCTAAACCCTCCAGGCGTCTTCCTTGGCTCTCCTTCAGGAGGAAAGCTCTTTTTTCCTCAGCCTGAGAAGCAGGAGAGCTGGGAGATTCCGAGGCTGAGCTCCTGCCTGCTGAGGCATTTCACTTGTGAAATGTGCTGGCTGGTATTTTCCTCGGCGAGGGCTCTGCTGACTTGGAGCCCTGGATTAGAGCAGGGTGGGCATTTAAACTCTTGGCTTTTCCTCTGGAGATGATGCCCTGGGCGTGTGGTTCCTTCCCTCACGCTGCAGCAATCCTGACAGCTCTCATCTGTGCGAGCTGATCCCATCTCTGGAGAGCCCCACGGAATCACAGGGAGGAGCAGGCACAGCTCCAGGGGCCCTTTCAACTCAACACCCCCTGCTCTGCTCGCCTCTCTGCCCCTGCCTTGGGTTGTCTGCCCTCCGTGTAGCTCGTGCCAGCTGGGTGATGAAAGAGCAGAAGGATTTGAGAGAGAAGCAGCTGCTGCCTCAGCCTCCCCGGGTGAATAAACTCCCAGAAACCCCAGCAGCAGAAGCACCAGGCTGGATTTTTTTTCCCCTCAGAGCCTCCTCCGAGGGCTGAAGAGCTGCCAACGTTCCTCCCTCTGGTGCTAGAAGGTAAAAACCCTTCTCAGCTCTCTCTGACCCCCTCTCTCTCCTCTCTGAAGTGCCTCTGACAACATCCCCAGAGCCGACGAGATCCGGACGCTGGTGAAGGAGACGTGGGACACGAGGGTGGCCAAGCTGAGGCTGTCTGCAGACAGCTTTGTCAGGCAGCAGGAGGCTCATGCCAAGGTGTGTGGGGGGTGCCAGCCGAGCCCAGCTGCTCCTGGAGAGTGCTGCCCTCGGGTTTTGTCCCGGGTGGTGGGTACATGGGCTGGGGGTTAGGGGCTGGCAGCTGGGCACGTCCCCTGGGGGGTCACTGAAGGCAAAGCGTGGGGTGCAGAGCTGCTTTCCAGGTTCCTTTGCTGCTCAGACAGGGCTGTTGCCCCAAATCCTAGGGTTTTTTTTCTCTCTTCTAGCTGGATAATTTAACCCTGATGGAGATCAACACGACAGGAACTTTCCTGACTCAAGCCTTAGATCAGATGTACAAGCTCAGGACTAACCTCCAGCCTAGTGAGAGTTCCCAGTCCCAGGATTTCTGAGGTACCAGCCAGCCCTCAAACCTCCCAGGAGAGGAAGGGAGCAGGTTCCTCTCCTCACCCCTGGACCTTTCTCTGGCCACCCTGAAGCCACCAAAGCTTCTCCTCCTCTCAGCAGCCCACAGCCCCTCCTGCGGGCAGGCAGGAGAGGGAGCAGACAGGCTCCCAGCCGGCTGGGAATCCCTCTGGAGCTTGCTGGTGGCTCGGGAACATCCCTCCACGCCCCCATTTTGCAGAGGAGACCCTCTCCGGGCTTCAGAGATCCCCTGGGGGCGGGTGGTGCCTCGGCAGGCTGCCGGTGATT